CTTTTAAAAGAAAAAAGAAAAAGAAAATATCACCCACCCTACCCCTCCTACCCTTACCCTACTCACTTACACACACTTAAACATACTCTCTCTCTCTCTCTCTCTCTATATATATATATATATATTATTATATATATATATATGATCATCATCGGTCCACCCTACCACCGTCGGACCACCACCTTCATTGGACCACCACCGTCTTCACACCATCCATTCCAACACTACCAGAAATACGTCTGTCACCCTCACCCCTTCTTTTTCTCCGGTGTTCATCATTTTCTTCATAGCGCCATCGTAACGCCCCCTCTGCCGACACCGACACCAACGTTCTTCGTCGCCTCTGCCATCACCATATCCAACATTGTCACCCTCAATTTCCGTTCACCCGTACCATCGTTGGAGTCCATCGTACCAACCGACCTGATAGAAAACCCTAGTGTACGATAACGAATTCCACTACAAGATCCAAGATACATTACAGCGGATTCGTTACCCAAGCTTCGATGACGAGAAGAGGCCTAGTGGTTTCAGATCGGGGCATAAGGAGATCGGTGATGGCGGCGATCCAGTGGCAGATTGCAGATCTGGTGGTTTCGGTGGAGGTAGAAATGACGTCGCTGATGGGTTTTGAGGATAACAACCAATCATATGTGTGCATGCAACCCTAATTGTTAAGATCTATGTTTTTATCTAAATCAACATACAAGTATTGAATATAAAAAGGAGAAACCTAAGAGGCATATACTATTTTCAAAAATAACAACAAAGAATAGTAATCATACCTTTAATTTTTATGTAGTAATAACAATGTGAATCCAAGAGTTCTTGAAGCTTGAGAGCAAGTGTCACAAATGTAACACCTCTAATGGCTCACACCCAAACTAGGCAAGAGGATGAGAGAGGAGAGAGGAGGGGATGGCTTGAGAATTTCGGCTTCTCTTCTGGGGTTTCTAGTGGCCGAAATTATGAAGGCATTATGCCATTTATATAGGTGAGGCAGCTTAGAGCCAAAGTCAAGAATTAAGGAAGGAAACTCTAATCCTTTAGCTTAAGGACCAAGCAGCCCAAGAATCCCTACCAAGACCCATTAGACGAAAATTCTAGGGCCTTCCTAGAAGTTTTCGTCCAAGCCTTTCTAGGGAGGTTCTAGAGCTTCTTTCCCGCAACTATCAATAAATTGCAAAACAACCCCTACACATTTAATTAATACAATTAATCCCAAAATTAATTTCAATTAATTTCTGATTAACTATTAATTAAATAATATGATTTCTAACTAATCTATTATTTTCATAATACATTAATAAATCATTTATTTCAATTTATTATTCAAATAAAAAATATAACCTCTCTCTCCACAATTTATCCTATCCAGTTGCTAGTATGAGGGCAACCCAAAAGGATTGTGTTACTATCAATTCAAGTATATACCAATTATAGTTATGGACTTAGACACCTAATCCAATAGTCACAACCTTCCCCATTCATCGCCACTTGGGTTGCCTGCCACCGTCAGATGAACCTCCACCCAAGCGTCGATCTGAACCACTCCCTCCCTTCCCCCCCCCCCCCCAATGCAGAGTTGGATTGGTTATTTGTTCTTATTTTTTTATTTTAAGTTTAAAAATATAAATTAAACTAATTTATGTATTTCAACAATTAAAGAAACTAAAATATATATAAATTATAACAGCATTATAGTCTTTTAAAATGTATAGAAACCAAAACCATAAATGATCCAATTTTGATTAATACAACACCAAAACTTTTTAAACCAAAAACATAGAATTTTGGGTACATTTTTGCAATTTTGTCTTTTACAACATTTGGGGTCGGATAAAACCCACAGCCCCTTCCTGACCCGACATATGCCCTAAAAAGCGAAACCTTCCACATTGGATTGGTTATTTGTTCTTATTTTTTTATTTTAAGTTAAAAAATATAAATTAAACTAATTTATGTATTTCAACAATTAAAGAAACTAAAATATATATAAATTATAACAGCATTATAGTCTTTTAAAATGTATAGAAACCAAAACCATAAATGATCCAATTTTGATTAATACAACACCAAAACTTTTTAAACCAAAAACATAGAATTTTGGGTACATTTTTGCAATTTTGTCTTTTACAACATTTGGGGTCGGATAAAACCCACAGCCCCTTCTTGACCCGACATATGCCCTAAAAAGCGAAACCTTCCCCATTGGATTGGTTATTTGTTCTTATTTTTTTATTTTAAGTTAAAAAATATAAATTAAACTAATTTATGTATTTCAACAATTAAAGAAACTAAAATATATATAAATTATAACAGCATTATAGTCTTTTAAAATGTATAGAAACCAAAACCATAAATGATCCAATTTTGATTAATACAACACCAAAACATTTTAAACCAAAAACATAGAATTTTGGGTACATTTTTGCAATTTTGTCTTTTACAACATTTGGGGTCGGATAAACCCCCCCCCCCCCCCCCCCCCCCAATGCAGAGTTGGATTGGTTATTTGTTCTTATTTTTTTATTTTAAGTTTAAAAATATAAATTAAACTAATTTATGTATTTCAACAATTAAAGAAACTAAAATATATATAAATTATAACAGCATTATAGTCTTTTAAAATGTATAGAAACCAAAACCATAAATGATCCAATTTTGATTAATACAACATCAAAACATTTTAAACCAAAAACATATAATTTTGGGTTAATTTTTGCAATTTTGTCTTTTACAACATTTGGGGTCGGATAAACCTCCCCCCCCCCCCCCCATGCAGAGTTGGATTGGTTATTTGTTCTTATTTTTTTTATTTTAAGTTAAAAAATATAAATTAAACTAATTTATGTATTTCAACAATTAAAGAAACTAAAATATATATAAATTATAACAGCATTATAGTCTTTTAAAATGTATAGAAACCAAAACCATAAATGATCCAATTTTAATTAATACTAACACCAAAACTTTTTAAACCAAAAACATAGAATTTTGGGTTAATTTTTGCAATTTTGTCTTTTACAACATTTGGGTCGGATAAAACCCACAGCCTTTTTGACCCGACATATTCTAATCGACGGTATCTTAAACCCTAACCCTGCTCACTGGCGATCCATCACGGGAGTAGCCTCTCCTCCAGCATCTACGACATGGCAATCAACCATGCCGAATGCCGAAGTAGGTCCACCGGAGGTGACCCTGGAAACGTCAATGGGTTCTTTCACTGTTATGGTAAATTTTCGATAACTCTCGAGCTTTTCTCACTGTTACAAAGAACTTTGAACAAATTAATTGATGTCAAATTGATCAGATGTACGATAAGCACTCGCCAAAAACTTGCAAAAACTTCATTGAACTATCTCGAAGGGGTTACTACAACAACGTTAAATTCCACAGAATCATCAAGGTATGTAACTCCAAAAATCCCCATCTTTCAACACTTTTTGTGTTTTCGTGTGCTGAGTAATGTTAATAATCCGTGGAGTAGGTGCTAATTTTCGATAATTTTATATATATTTAGAACAGGATTTTATAATTCAAGGAAGTGATCCCACTGGCACAGGAAGGGTTGGAGAATCCATTTATGGGTACGTTTTCTCAGCTCAAATTAAGCTTTTGTTTTTAGGATTTTTTTGCTTCAATCTTACGAACTTGTTAGATTTGAGATTGTTGTAATCCATACTTCTGGAATCGGTAAACCTAATCAAATATGTTGTTTGAAGTCTGAACACAAAAAGTAGATATTTGAACTTGAATTCCGATTGAATTTCAACTATATACTGGCAATCTGTGCATATGTTTGAGAAATTTGACTTTTTTTTTGACATGAGTTTGTTTCCATTGTTGAAGCTCAAAGTTTGAAGAGATCACTCCAAAGTTGAAGTGATCACATTGGCTCCAGCTCAATCACTTGATTGTAATCATTTTTTTTTCTTTCAAAAAGTTATTATTATAAACTATAAATATAGCTTTGTTTGTTAAATTTTAATATATGTCCATCATAATTTCCAGGAAAACCACAGATATTTGGAAGAGTATGTAGAGGAATGGAGATTGTGAAGAGACTTGGTAGTGTTCAGACTGATAATACTGATAGGTATATTGCTTTCTTATTCTATTTATTTTGGTAAATGTATGATTGTTTTTGATAAATTCTTGTATTATTTTTCTTTTTTAATTTCTTGTTTTGTTTCAGGCCTGTTCATGATGTGAAATTACTACGAACAAGTGTTAAAGATTGATGCTTTTTGGCATCATAGATTCTCAAAAGCAAGGTATTGCTACTATCCATAACCCCATGAATGTAATCGAATTATACAGGGCTTCATATGAATGCAATTAAACATGAACACATTAGTATCTTGTAGTTTGACATCGCAACAAAATGATGATTTGTTTCTCCATGTTCTAATTTGGTAAAGTTATTGGTTCATAAAGATATTGTTTTTCATATGGTTAAAAGGTTGCCAAATGGACAAATGGTTGGGTTTACCCACAATTCACAAACCCGTTTGTGCGTTAAAAATTATAGCGAAAGCTATATAATTCATAATAGAAATAATATAATTATGTTTGGGAGAGAGGATACATATGAATGCATTGTTGGTGACTTTTAACCCATTACATTTACATATTTGTTTTTTAGTTTTAGATTTTACCAATTCAACATGTTAGACTATGTTTGGTGGACTAGCTGAAAAACTAACTGCAAGGTAATAAAAATGATGTTTGTTAAAACTAGTTGAAATATGTAAAATAATACAAACAAGCATGTAGATGATTGTTTTTTTTAATAATTAATAAATGGGTAACCAATTTCAACTACAAAACTTTCACTTATTTTTACCAAAAAGACAAGACAAAATGTGTAATCGTTTTTCAAAGCTAATCACAAACCAGATGTTAAAAAAACATGCAAACCTGCTTGAATGGTGGATTGATAACTTGGGCTTTGTACAACATCATATAGGCAAGAATCTTTCTCCCAAAAGTTAGTAACATAGTGTACCTATATCACTCTTTAGCTCAATTGGAAAGGTTAAGAGAAATCCGTGTGGTCATATTCATCCATATCTGCGACACAAGTTGAAATAAGCCTAGGTTTCTATGGGGTTACTCATGCCAATCTTTGACCATAAGGAGCTTCAACACGTAAGTTACGTATTTCCCCGCAAGAGAAATTTCAATTTCTAAGATTTAAAATGTAGGTTACAAATGCCACCATCTATAAATATGTGAATCAGCACCAGATGCCGGGTTTTGGTCGTGGATTCCCCTCTCCTCCTTGCCACACTTTCCCATCCCTATCATCAAAATTACAAACATACCCCTAAAAGATTTCAACAAAAGAATATCAATAAAAGCACAAGGGGTAGTAATGCAAAATATTTAAAGAGTAAATTAAAAAAATTTGGTTCTTATTTTAATGTTTCAAAATGATTTAAGTCTCTCGTAAAATGTAACTATTTACTTGTTAGTTTTTTTTTTTTTAAAATGACCCTTTTGCCTTTGGACAAAACGCGTAACTATCTCTTGATTTATTATTAAACTATTTTCTATATCATTACATATTTTATTTTTGATTATCTTGATTTATCAATCCCAATGTTTTGAATATAAATGCAATTTGCGTTAAAATAAATTATCATATATAATGGGTTAAAAAGTTAGAATCTTGAAAATTACATTTATTTAAGACATTAGTAATTTAGTATCTACAATATTGAAGAAATAAACAAAAATTATGGGCGGACCAAAGACAAATTCGTCATTTTAAATGTAAAATAATTCAAAAAGTTATACCTTTTACAATATTGTGAAACAAAATAAGTCAGTAGTTTGATAAATATTTAAGGGAAAATTAAAAAATTGGTCCATGTGATATACTAATGTTCAACTCAAACAAAAAACTAACTTATTAGTTTGATTTACTAAAGAACCAAAAAAATATGAAGAAAACACAGAGAATGGTAAAGAAAGAATAAAAAATCATTTTATGAAGTCGACTTATAGAAGATATCCATGGTTGAGATCAAATTGAGGAGAAAAGAGACAAAACCTGGAATAATTAGGAACCAATGGGTTTACACATACACGAAGTTGGCTCTTTTCCCTCCTTAATTCCCCCTAACAACAAAACTTTTATCAATTGCAAAATGAATGGAAGATATAAAAAGGATTTGGTCATCAGAAACTAAGATAGGAGTTTCTAAATCTAGTAATCAGAGGAATTCCATATCATTGAAACAAAAATTGATAAATAGAAAGTGACAGAAGCAAAAGGTTTGACCTAGAAATAAGAAATTTCAAACTAAATTATAATGCAAAGCAAACTTAAATTTCAATGAACTGAAAATTATATCTCTCATAGGGCGTGTTCGGCACGGAGCGTTTTGGAGCGTTTGAGAGCTTCTAGCTTCTAGCGTTTGACAAAACGCTCCGTTTTAAACAGAAAGCCTCGTTTGACACTACAAGCTTCTAGCTTTTAATTTAATCAAAACGCTCCAAATCCAAATGTTACTTCATGTAGCTTTTAACAAAACGCTACAGTATCAATAACTAAGAACACACTAAACCATTAAAATATAAGATAAAATCTTACCCATAAAATCAAAATGTTTACACACATCATCTTTAGACATACTTAATATATATGTCCTAAAACATATTCAATCTTTTTATGAATTTATTCAAATGAAAAACATAAATAAAAAAAATAAAAAAAAAGGAAAAAAGGAAAAAGTAATAGATATATTTTATAAGAACAAAAGAAAAAGAGAGATATTGGTTTAAATTGTGGGGAGTAAAAGATTTTTTTTCTTTTTTTTGGATGTTCCACTTAATAGGAGAAAGAAACACAAAACGACATAACATATCAACAAATACTAACGGTTACAATCATAACTTGGTAAATAATGTACATGGTAAAAGTTATAGCAGCCCCACTATCAAGTGTAAATATATTGGGGAAATAAATAGCCCTCTGAGTTGGATGTCAAATTACAAAAATGGAATTCCTTCTTCCTACTTAATAATCTACTCTATTGATCAAATATTTACCCAAAAGTGTTGCAAATCATACGATTATAATACTTAAATAGCTATTTTTTTCCTAGAAACCAAAGTTAAAACCAACACAACTATACATAAATATATAGAACCTCCAATGGAAGGAAGTCATCAGTCAAGTTATCAGTAAAGTGTTCCAGTTAATTTAAATAGTGAAATAACTTTTAATTCATGTAACAAAGGGGAATCTCGTACCGTACAATGTTGCACTCGCGAATCAGTATAGGCAAATTATGGTTTTCTTTGTTCAAGCCCTTGTAAACAAACGCCCTGTCACAAATCGAAATTTTAATTTCAATAAAATGGATGTGGTTAGGAAAAAGAGCAAGACAATATTGCATAAATTTTACGAAATATGAGATCAAGCAAGCGATTTTATCATAGCTGTAAAAATAACTGAGATTGATAGCACATACCTGGGTAAAAATTGATCTATAATCATCACAATTCTTCACAGTTGTCATTTGCTATGCTTCCATCAACGTCCTTGTCCACATCAAATTCCTAGTCACCATTTCCCTTTTCACATCTTCAATATCACCGCATGAATTCCTCACATTTGATCTTTTTTGAAGGCTCATCATGTAGGGCAGAACAACCATACATTGCGTTTTTGTTTAAGGATTCACCGGGCCTTTATCCTTCATCGTGAGGGTTTTGTGGGAGATGGGGAGAATAAATTCCGTTGGAGGAAGAAGAGGAAGAGCAGGGAAAACATTGCTATTTTAGGTAGCCGGAAGAGTTGGGGGTTGAGCAAAAGGATTCAAGAAATTAGCCTTCTAATCCACCCCATCATGTTAAGAACAACTAAAATTGCAATTAAAAGAGCTCAAGAAAGTATCTGGTTTTCTTCTTGGTCGATTTATCCTCCATCGTGGGTCTTAGGGAAAAAGAAATATGTATCCCAAATCCAGTAAATGCGATTACCAAATCTATCTGCATAAATCAGTACCAAACAAAAATGCTCAAGTAAATAAAAACATCAAACACGAACCTGAAACTGTAGAGAATTCATGAATCTAAAATTAAACTGAACACAATTTCAAATGATACTTACGTGAAATGATTGTGAATAGCGGAGAGTGAATTAAGATTGTCAATATTTGACTTGTGAATCCTCTAACTTGAGAACTAAATAACAACTTCCGATCATTATATAGGCCAAATTTCTCTATCGTGGTTAGGGCAGTTAACTATTAAGAGGGTATTTGGATAGAGAAAAAAAAATGTTTATCGTTTATTGTTTATTTCCACCACAATAAGCTAAGTTTAAGCGTTTAGATAAAAATTCTTAAAAATCAGCTTATTGTGGTAGGGATAATCCAAAATAAGCTGGTTTTAATAAGCATCTCCTCCTTTGCTTATTGTTTATTGCTTATTTTAATAAGCTAATAAGCTATAAGCTAATTTATCCAAATACCCCCTAAGAACGAAGCAACCTCCTCATCGTGGTTGGTTGAAAGAGAACTACCATAAAACACTCTTTGAAGGAGGATTAGAAACATATTAAACGGCTTTGGAAGGAGACAACCGTCGACCGTGTACGTGGGAGAGAAAAGGAGGAATCGTGGGGACGACCTGAAGACCAAAGGGCGAGGAAGTAACCTCCGATTAATTGTAAATAGCGAGTTATGAAAGTGGAGATTGAAAGTTGGCGAGTTTGAAGGGACGACCTGAAGACCAAAGTGGGTTCGGCAATGTGCTCGGCAAGTTCGACGCACACCGGGCCGAGTACTCAGCATGTCGAGCTCGGCTCGGCGAGTCGGCGACCAAATGTCGATGCACACTGGGCCAAGTACTCGGCATGCCACGCTCGGCTCGGCTCGGCAAGTCAGAGACCAAATGCCGATGAGAGAGAAGAAAATCAATTGGAAAGTTACATTAATTCTCTTTTGCTTCATTTTCTATCCTAAACTCAACTTGAAAATACTATATTAACCCTTCAACTTTATAAAAATTGTCATTTTGACTTGTTCCCATTCATATTTAATAATCTTTATTAATTCAAGTAAACTAATTCTATATAAGCTAATTGTTATTAATATTTTTTGTGTCCTCATTTTAAATTATATGATGTTTTTACTTGTAATTTTATTTTTCCGAGGGTTTTTTTTTGTATTTTTTTGGGTGTATTTGTTGTATTTTTTGTTAAATTTTAATGAAATTGCAGTTTTACATTAAATTGGTTAAATTGATTAAGTGTGTCAACTCACGTCATGAAAATGACAAGTGTGGCAAATATGATGTGAGACTAATGTGAACTGTGGCAAGTGTAACACCACACCAATTAGCCTAATATAAAGAATATGATAGATTTTACAAAATGTAACGTTTTAATAAGAAAACTAAATAAAAG